AGAGTTGCGATCTGCCCCCCCCCCCCCCCCCCCCCCCAATGAGATGGTGGCCTGCCCCCGGGCCGGAACTGGGAAGATGGGGCGGGAGATGAAGACGTGAAGTTCTGAAAACAACGGGCCTACCTGCCGGCTTGAGCTGAGGGCATGGCAGGCTGTCGCATCGAGTGAAGTGTTGGGAGGCCGGTTCCTGGCCTGGAGATGGGGGAACGAAGACCTGTGCTTAACGTTACACTCCGCTGCCAGGGGGATTCTGTTGGAAACGTCAGGGATGCGCATGACCGGAACAGACCATCTGTCCTGTACTCGGCTGGCGCCGCCGCCAGTCTATCGGTCCGCTGTGGTCGCCAGCCGTCCGCCGGCCAGCTGTGGTCGCCAGCTGTCTGCCAGTCCGCTGTGGCCGCCAGCTGTCTTCCGGTCCGCTCTGGTCGCCAGCCGTCTACCGATCTGCTGTAGTCGCCAGCCGTCTGCCGGTGCACTGTGGTCACCAGCCGTCTGCCAGTCCGCTGTAGCCGACAGCCTTCTGTTAGTCCGCTATAGTCGCCAGCCGTCTGCCAGTCCGCTGTGGTCTGCCAGTCCGCTGTGGTCGCCAGTTGTCTTCCGGTCCGCTGTGGTCGCCAGCCGTCTACCGGTCTGCTGCAGTCGCCAGCCGTCTGCCGATCCGCTGTGGTCGCCAGCCGTTTGCCGGTCCGCTGTGGTCGCCAGTCGTTTGCCGGTCCGTTGTGGTCGCCAGCTGTCTGCCAGTCCGCTGTGGTCGCCAGCCGTCTGCCGGCCCGCTGTGGCCTGCCAGTCTGCTGTGGTCGCCAGCCGTCTGCCAGTCCGCTGTGGTCGCCAGCCGTCTGCCGGTCCGCTGTGGTCTGCCAGTCTGCTGTGGTCGCCAGCCGTCTGCCAGTCCGCTGCGGTCGCCAGCCGTGCTCGCCGGCGCATCTGACCGGCACCGAGACGGCCGGCCGGCCCCTCTCAGCATAGCTTCACATGCCTGCTGCCCGCCGTCGACCCCAGGTCAATCGACGCGTGTGCGCGGCCGAGTTCATGGCCGCCCATGGTGCCGCCTGTTTCTGCCGGTCGGCGCGGCCCCAGCGTCGGGCGGGACGAATGGCGGCCGAAACAGGCTATCGACCATTGATCGAACGGTGTAGTAGCATTGTTGTAGCTGAATCGGCCGCCCCTCCCTGCGCGAGGTGGCCTTTCACCGACGTATGTGTAAGTGAGTGATGTGTGCTGGAATGGCACGGTGCTGAATGCCAGGTGTCTGGCTAAATCATGTTGCCATGCGCCAATGCCGTCTGTAATCTAAGTTACGCTAAGGCTGTGTTAGCAACACATAGTCCTGCTCACGCCTAGCCTGTTACGTGCTCCATTGGTCGTCCACAACGCCTGCTAGTCAATCTAGTCCTATTAGTTACTGACCCGGTTATCCAGGAGCTATCCGCCTCTTTATGGTCAGAGATATGTGTGGATCTCACTGGTGGGCCTAGCTCCGTAATGCTTCGACATTATTGTAAGACGTATCTAGGATGATTGAATACCATTCGCAAGGATTAGACATAGATCCCGCATCGTGGAAGGTATCTCATCCAATTTGGCAGAAGATTCTTGATTCCAAAAGAATCGCTAAGGGAATAAAAATTTGTAGGATCCCAGGAAGGCGTGGAATTTGATTTGGATATGATACAAACTTTTGCCTCATTTGGGCCATTTTATCCCTGCCCAAAATCAGACAGTTATCACTCCTATCCAAGTCAACTTGTGAGCTAATTTTTCAAAGTTGACCTGTAATAGGAAACTATGTGGATGGAACACGAATGCATTATCGGTGTAACAGGTAGTGTTTTTCGCAATGATCGCCGAAGCGGAGCCCACGAGTCAAACCAAGTCAATATATTCACGAATGGCTCCGACAAGTGGCTTAATATTTCATCACAGTCGCATCGCAGTTCATATGCTGCAAAAGTAGAATAAAAAGCTACACCAAACAAAAAAGCACCGATGACACAAGTGGTAAAAAAACAGTCAAATACAAAACACCTTACGTTATAGTGTTACTCAGCACCACTGAGTTCGCCAATAAATTCACACATTTTCCCGTAGCTATTGGTGACTGGTGGCAGGTACTCCCAGAACGAGACTGCACTGAAAGCTACTCGATTTTAGCAGACGCAAATGCTGTATTTTGTTCCGTAAAGCAGCTTACGCACACTGGATCAGCTTTGGTTTAGGTCTCGTCATTTTGCACTGATGGACCCGGCTTTGGCTTCGTTGTTATTAAGCTCGAAGCCGCTGACCTGGGCTTCGGTTTTGAGTGTGCAAATTTAAAGTTACTGGCTTCTTTTTTTGCTTTGGGTTTTAAAAACACGAGGCCACTGGCTTTGGCTTCGACTTTACGGCTTCAAACTTTTAAGTCACCGATTTAGCTTCGACTCCGGCTTCATGTCATTATCTTGCCTTTGAATTCGGCTTTAATGCTGGACGCCTGACTTCATACCCATCCCTGGTCCGTGCATATATCTGTAGTTAAGTTTATTCCAATCACACTCTTGATGGTGTGATTCGAATCACACCCTTAAATGGATCGATGATGTAACGTTGATTCTGGTGCCCTTGAAACATGCGTCCGAAGCGGGACACAAAAACCGTTCGTTGCACATTGACGGCTTATTTAGTTGCATTATTTCATATCTGGACCGTATGGACTCCGCCGTCAAGCATACCTACATTTGCAGTAGGGCCACGTAGGGACAATGACAGTCCTTTAGCCACTAACCGCTGGTAGCTGCACGACAGGTGCGCTCGCTTAGTTAATGAGAGCTGAGAATTGAGATACGCACGATGCGAGTAAATTCGAATACATCCATATATTATTGTGAGCCCTCGAATCCTAGAAACGAGGACTTGAACCCGGAAAATCAGGATCCGAATTCTAAACACCACACCAAGTCCTGGGATTAATTGTGTATATAAGTATTCACCGCTGAAGCATTGCTGTCGAGATGGGGTTCCAACACGATTCCTGTGCCGCGGAGGTCTTATCACGTTATGACGACCTTCGTATGACTGTTGCGGTGTCATCATAAGTCCAGGAATGCAAAAAAGACAATGCTCTCATTTTCTGCATCTGTTGAGCTGAAAAGCCTCTTTTTGTGATGGCGATTTTTGTCCTCGCCCGAGGACAGTGAGGAAGAAAAGCTCTCTTACTAGGCTGTGCTCCGAAGTATACAGTTCCCACCACCGTGTGACGTTCCAGGTATGTGCCAACATAATCAAGCTTCCTGTGCCGATACTTCCCCAAGACGTAAGCCCGTTAGGTCGATATGCCCTACCTGAGTGGTAGCCATTATGCTGATCGCCAAACCATCAGGCGGCTTATTATGTATGCTTTCCATAATTATGTTATTGAGGGGGTAAACAATGGTCACGAAAACCATAGATTAACGCAGGGTATCCGTTTAGGGTTTTCCCTAAGCTCGCAACTATACCATATAACTAAGCTCGCAAGGCAAATGATAGTTGCTCTTTTTGTGTCTAAACATATAGCAGAGCAGGCTGGTGACTCGATCGCCGTCATCGCTACGCCGGACATCGGTCGACACGAGCCGTGACCCGTTTCGTAACGCTCTCGTGACGTGCGGGTCCGCAGGCTGAGACGGTCCCAACGTCAACTCTCCGGATGTTTTGGAGCGGCGCCAGTCCGGACAATCATGCTTTTGACGGACCTTTGCCTTTGTTACCACTTATGTTGTCATGTGTCAGCGACAGCTAGCTCTTGTGTTATGTTGATTGGGGCTTTCGGGTGCGCCGACTTCTAGGCATTTGGCGCCCAAGCGGCAGGCAGCTCAGTTCTATAGAAGTGCCGTGACGTTTTACTCAAGGCATTGCCATCAAGCTGTTTGATTAGCAAGAGGTTGGTGCAACATTACAGTATAATCGGAATGTCCACTCCAATCCGAGTAATCTCCCGATGATAAAATATTCGGGTCGCGAAAAAGCTGAAGAGTATTTCGCCAATCCAGGGTCACAACGCGTCACCTTTTGATGAAAGAGATGTGGGACAATGGCACGTGCATCCACGTGGGTCCAAGTATGCGATCGTTTATCATCTCTTAACTGCAAGCCATGTATCCACCAGCTTGGAGAATCTCCAAGGACCGAGATCAGATCTCAGCAACCCGGAACAGTTTTGAGTTGAAGCCTACTGGATGGGGAATGCAGTGCCCGTGAATATTAAGCGGGCTCGTCCCGCTTGGACGCATGGTGACACTAGCGATCACCTGGCGACGGCGGATGTCGCATTTTCCACCACCGCCGTCAACTGCTGTGGCCTAAACTGAGGGGCCTAAGCTGAGAGAGCTGCGTGGTCCTGTTAATCGCGGCCGGTCCCGCGCTGTAAAGGGCGTCGCACTGGCTGCGGTATCAGAAGCTGTTACGAACTGGATTCTCTTCAGGACGTCAAATTGAGGAGCACAACTGGAGACACGAGCCGGCACTGCTGCGAGCGGACATCGGTACTCAATGTAGCTGGGCAGTTGGTGTGCATTTGCTCACCAGCTTTTCACCGCGCGACATTCACAACTTCTGTCACGTTAGAAAGCTCCAACGATGAAACTTAGCAATTCCTGAAGTTCTGATGTGCTATGACTTATGTCCTGACCTGGCGTTGCAGAGATAGCGAACTGCCGGGCCTTGGGCTGCCGGGCCGGTCGCTTTCTCGCCTCTACTCGGCTTTGTATGAGTGCGATTGGATCCGGCCGGGGAATGACACGTGATGTATTGGGGCTGTGTTGCGACGTGACATGTGATCGGACCTGACCTGACCCGATGCTGCAGGAATGCCACAGAACCCGGCTGTTACGTGACATGTTCCAGAGGTGTCGCAAGAACCCGACCTGACCTGATGTGTAACCTGACCTGGTGTTCCAGAGGTGCTGCGGGACCGCGCTGTGACCTGACCTCATGCTCCAGAGGTGCCGCAGGACCCCGACCTAACGCGAGGCCTGGTGTTCCAGAGGTGCTGCAGGACCCGGCCGTGATGGCACGCCTCAGTGACACCAAGGCGGCGGGAGAGGTGAAGGCGCTCGAGACGTTCTACCGCACGCTGCAGGATGACCCGAGCAAGGCCTACTACGGCTACAAGCACGTCGAGCGCGCCAACGAGGCGCAGGCCATCGAAACCCTGCTCTGTTCTGACAAGCTGTTCCGGTGAGTGCGGCGCCCCGCCGCGCTCTGTGGGAGGGGGGGGGGGGGGGGGGGGGGGGAGTCTGGTGCACTGCAGCGTCGGCCTCTCAGGTGCTGGAGCGTTTGGGAGGCGTGTGCTCTCCTAATCTGTCCAGGAGGTGTCAGGAGTCCTGTTGGCTGCTTGAGCCGTGCTCAGCAGGGGCGACACTAGCATGTGTCGCCTTGGGCTGGACTTCCATATGTGACGTCATAATGTGTATTGATCCATAAAACAGCTGTTGACATCATTGCAAAGTGTCTGCGCGCTCAGTCCTTTTTGTATGAAGCTTACCTATTTGAAGTAACCAAAAGTTGCGTGAGTTGTCCAGGTTCCGTACTCTTTTGCGGGTTTTAGTGGGTGAGCGTCAAGCCGGAGTATGTTATAAAAACCTTCTTTTATGAATGTTCCCACAACTTCCTACCTTAAATTGTATAAGAAAGTTGCGTCTTGACCCCCTGACATAAAATAATCATGTTATTTCAGTTACATTTCAAGTCTGAGAAAGTCAGTCTCAGCTGTTGACAGCATCAGCTCATTTCAAGTCAAATATGGCCGCCACCACGAATGCGATGAGCAGTCAGTTACTGAGCAGGCGTTTGGAAGGACCTAGCCCAGCCTGACGTAGTGAGCCTGTTCAGCAAAATAGTCTGTGGGTGACCTCGCGCATCAACGCCTGCAAACCCCACCCATATGATTAGTCTGTGCGTGGGACTAAGCGTGCTTATGCTGGGTGGTGACGTTGATGCTTCACCTCATCACCTTCACTAGGATTTCCACTAGCAGGAAAGACACGTGAGAGTGAGGTGAAACGTCTGCGTCACCAGGACGTCGAGAGGGGTTTGGCCTAATCCTCATTTTATCTCTCCTAGAACGAGCTAGCAATTTTGCTTCGATCAGATAGTCACCCAGCCCCACAGATTCCCGAACACTCGAGGCGCTGCAACTTTTGCGCCTTGTTTTCGGCCGTAACGTCGTGGACTAAATCGCTGTCGCGATGAAAACATCGCTATCTGGCGCCGCCTCCCATTGACCTCGCGCTAAGGCCGAAACTTCGCGATGGGGCGGGCGCCGCCACACGGCGGCTGGAGGCCGGGCGTGGCCTGGCGGCGGAGCGCTCGGTCAGGACCGGGGTCGGGGCTGGTGCAGCTGGGGTCTGCATCCGAGGCTCAAGAGGGGCGGCGGCGGTCAGACGTGGGATCGTGAGGGCCCGGGAGGGTCTCGGTCCGGGTCTCCCGCCGGACCGCGCAGCCGAAGACGCGGTCTGGGTGTCACGAGACCGGCTGTACTTTGTAGTAGGCGCACATCGGAACTCGGACCAGACGAACGGCCCGCTGATCTCTGATCCGAGGCGCCTGGCCCGGCTTTCCCAACACACACACAACTTTTCTCTCTCTTTCAAACGGAGCACTGAGTACAGTGTGACGTGTGTCAAAACATCGCAACCCGGGTACTTGAAAGGCAACATGTAAATTGATCGTTCTTGTGAAGCTTCGTCACACTTCTATATAGCGTCGCGTGTATATAAATATATACACACATTATATATATATATATATATATATATATATATGTATATATATATATATATATATATATATATATATATATATATTCACGCGTATATGTGTTGTCGGTATAGACCGGTGGCTTCGTTTTCATTGCCTGGTGCCAGGACCGAAATGTGGCCGTTGAAACGGCGGTGCGGGTTGTCGACAACGGTCGACAAGCCCCCGCTCCGGTCTGGTTTTGCTGAACGTAACTACGAGCAGCCTGGCGCCTGGCCGCTGACCGTCTTTGAAAGAGGGTAGCTAGCGGGTTTGCCACACTCCCTCGCTTCTCGAGCCAGCGAGGGATTCTCCCCACTTATGACGTTGATCTCGGACGTAATTGATTCGTTTATCAACCGGATCGAAATTGATTCGTTGATTGCGTTCCGGCATGGCGCGGCTATCGTCACCGCTTTGCTGCATATTTTACAGCCTTCAGAAGAGCTGTAGTCTGAGCACCGGTTTGGGTTTTGATCACAACTGAAACGTTAGCATTAGCTTCAGCCTGTAGGTCACATGGTTCGCAAGGGTCGGAATTGTTTTACGATCGCCGGAGGACGTTGCCTTCCCTGAACGACACACTCGTTCCGTGTCTGCACCACCAGGCACGAGCCTAACAGGTCGATGGTGTATTCAGAGGCACTATCAGAAGACGCGCGAAGGTCAGTGGGGAAATCAGTAGACTTTGGAGCAGAATTGCCGGAAACCAGAGACGAGAGGAAACCAGCGGGGATGGCGGAAGAGGCAAGTGGGAGGCCGGCGGGGATGGCGGAAGAGGGCAAGTGGGAGCCGGCGGGGACGGCGGAAGAGGGCAAGTGGGAGCCGGCGGGATGGCGGAAGAGGCAAGTGGGAGCCGGCGGGGATGGCGGAAGGAGCAAGTGAGAGCCGGCGGGGACGGCTGCAGGATCACAAGTGCAGATTTCATCCGGTTTGCCGATCCAGTCCGACGGCGGGACATTGTCAACGGTCATGTTTGAATGCCAAAGGTAAAGCCAAAAGAGTTGCACGTGCCTCTCTTACTTCTTTCGCCCTGTGTTCCCTCCCCCCTTCACACGAGGCTCAGTAATCGGGAACCGTACGATGCATTTTTAAGACAATCAGAAAAAGCAAACGGCGAGACAGCTCTTGAGCTGAAGCTCAGCAAGAGTACGGCAATGACAGCGTCTTCTCACACACACACGCGACGTTGTCCCTGATAAGCGCGCTCACGCGACGCGTTTTCTCGTTTCTTCGTTTTGGCTTGGTTTGGTAGGCAAGAGAGCCCTTTCGGTCAGTAAGAGCCGTTTCAGGGCTATGATATTAAAGAGAACGGTAAGCAGGGGGTGCGTCCATCGTGGCAGTCCTCCGCCGCCGGGCCTCGCCCTTGCGCAGGGGCCCGTCCTCGGGTGTGGGCGTCCGGCCGGGCGGGGCTCCCGCCGACACGGCTAAGAGGCCGGCTCGCAGCTGACGGCCGCAGCGTGCCCCGGTGAGGCGGCACGCTGCCAGGGGTTGGGAGAAGAGATCAGTAAGGAGGAAGGACGGGGTGTTCTGCGGTGTATCGGCCCTCTAGGATGCATATGTTGGTAGACAGGTATCAAGAAGAATCGTTCGTGAAAAGGCTAGCAAAACTTACTGACGTCGATCTTGTCTCTGCTCAGCCAGAGTGTGCCCGAATTGGCTCAGTCATAATGCATCATTTGGTAACTGAAAAGAAATGAGAGACGGTGATATGACAGAAAGTTTGACTTGCAATAGCATCTGGAGGCTTTGGGATGTAAATGCATCTATTGGCGATATTTGCGGGGGTCGCACCATTCGCTGCGGGCGGCGGGGGTCGTGGGAGCTTCTCACATGATTTAGACGTGTTTGAACGGGCACCTTAATGTGATGTTGGATTGTCTAGGATTGCGTGGTTCAAGTGGTAGTGAGCTGCTGCTGCTGCGCAGTGCAAGTGTTAACTTAAGTCCTCAAATTCGAATGAAATAATTCAAAGTCAAACAAGATTCTGGAACGGGAGATGTTTATGGGGGCACGTAATGTAGGTACGAAACGTGTGTGTTTTATTTAACCGAGGGCACTTCAACAATTTTATTTTTCGTAACTTTGTACAAGTTAAACACGGGCACATCTGTCACTTTGCAGACATTTCGCAATGTGGATAGCGGTACTCTCGATAACAGTGACATGGGGAATAGATGTCAATACAAGAACACTATAAATCACGGGAAATGGACATACAAGGACAATCAAGACATGCAAAATAGTAGGTAAATACTAAGGTCCATATAGAGTAAAGTTGTGTTGTCGCCCCTTATAAGAGTGAGCTCACTGATATTTTATTGGAAGGCTTCAGATCGTGAATTGAAATCTGGTTCTCCTTTTAAATTTTCTTTGCACATGACCGAGCAACAATATGTTCCCCTGTAATCGCATGTCAGGAGAGCACCTAAAATATTCGGGCAGTTCTGTCACTCCCCAACCTGTTTACCGGAAGTGATTGACACACATCGGATAAGCCTGTTTCTCATATAGCTGTATGTGACACCCATAACGGGTATCACACACACACCACACCACACACACACACACGCACGCACACCACGCACTCACGCACACGCCGCACTCACGCACTCACTCACGCCACCACTCACGCACGCACACACACCACACGCCACACACTCACGACTCACGCACTCACGCACTCACGCACTCACGCACGCACGCACGCCCTCACGCACTACGCACTCACTCACGCACGCACGTATATAATATATATATATATATATATATATATATATATATATATATATATATATATATATATTTCATGCCTTTTATATATAAAGCTTACTGAAGCTACACATATACCTTTGTATGTATAGCTTCAGCTTTTCGATAGCTTATCCGTAGCTTTCGATCGCGGGCCGGCCGTGCGCCGACTGGTCCCCGGTGCCGCACACACCAGGCGAGCCGACCCAACCCAGGCCTGACCTGTCTGGGTCAGGCTCCCGGCGGCCGCAGATGTGGCTGGATTAACCCGCCTCCTCGACCCGGCCGGTGCTTCAGAATTACGTTACCGGCTGGCCAATCAGACTGCTGACCCGACCGCGGCGGCCGTGGCGGCTGGCCGGGCTGTCACCACATAAGTGCTGCAGTAAAAAATCCTCCCGACACCGGCGCGGCAGCATCAGTTATGTGCGTTGTTATTTCTACCGCAAACACTTGTACATACTTATACGCGACATCACTTCTACAGCAAACACTTATACCACAAAACATACTCTTGAAAAATTTGTACATGACAAAATTTATGCTTCAAAATGTTATGCTTCAAAATGCACATCATCTGCCATACTGAAGTACTTACATCTACTGCAAAAACTGATGCTGTCTTTACTTACACGCTACATTACTTCTACTGCAAAAAATCATACACGACATAAATGCTACACGACGAA